ACCAAGCGCTTTAAAAATTGAGCTCTGGGGTGCCTTACCAAGTATTTCAGGTGCCCAGCAGTTTTCCAATGAATGACACACTGTTTCTCCCTTTCAGCTTCACTGGCAAGACAAGAAAACTGGTAAGAGAGGCATCAGTTGGGAAAGTGATGTCTGTAACTGATACAGTCGCATACATACAACACAGTATATACCCTAGTATGTACAATCAGTACATCCAGATCATACAGTGCTCTGAACTGTCAGTCTTTTCCATCCTTTTGTATTTTTACATCCTCATTTTAAATGTGCAGTTTTAAAAACACTTGAATGACGCTCTGTATTTTCCTGTGGTCTGTTGTACTTAAAAGCAGACTATCCTACATGGGTACCAGAGACCACAAAAAGAAGATATTGGCATAAGTGAGCCCTATTTTTTCTTTATAGTTGCAGATATACTAGTAAATTTGAACACATTCAACTAAGCAAAGCAATACAGAGTCTGAAGTCTGCAGGTTCAGCGTTTGGGTTCACTTGCTGTCATTACTTCTTTAATGAACTTTAAAATATAAATGCAAGATTTGTTTTACCACTGTGTGATATTCCTGTCCTTTACTGATTACACGGGCATTTTAAAAATAATGTTCAATATTAATGTTCAAAGCACTCTCTTGATCTCATTTATTGTGATTTTATTGTCAATTTTTTACTTAGTTTATATCGGGTTATAGTTCAGCCTTTCAGAGACTATAGCTGGTTTCCATGTACAGGACTGAGACCAAGTTCATTGCCTTATTGCGTAGGACTCCAGCAGCGTTTTTATTTTATGTTGAATTTTTTTAGTTGTTCTCTATGCCTCATTGAATCTTGTAGTGATTTTACTGTTCATTTTAAGGCTTTAAAAAAATTTTGCCCTCTGTTAAGCACTTGCCTTTCCATTTACTACAGGTCAGAATTTGACAGCAATTTCTTACTGTGCACTGAAGCATGCATCATATTAAAAGATGCACAGTAAGCAAGAGGGTTTCCTTACCATGTCTCTCTAGTGATACCAGCTCTGGGAATGCTTCCCATTGGAAAGATCTTAAAACATTTTACAAGAAACTTAAATATCAGACACATTTTACAAATGAGTAAACAAAACCAAAAAGGACTGATGTGTTTCAGCTATATTAAACACAGGATGTAGGTCTTCTGTGGTCTAGTCCAAACTTCAGCATCTAAATCAAATTTTCATGGATACTCTCTTTGCTTTGTGAACATAATAAAACAAGAATGGTTATATGAATACAGTCTGATACTTATAAATAGTTAGCCAGTTCATCCTGAATGCTGTTCACAAACTAACTCTCTAATCTGTAAAAATTTGCCTATTCAGTAGGGGGTTTGGGGTTTTTTGTTTGTTTGGGTTGGGGTGGGGTTTTTTGGTTTTGGTTTGTTTTAAAACAATTAAGTAGTTCAGTAGTTCAGTAGTGGCTCTGGTGTGTGCACACATACTAGAAGGTCTTCACACCAAGAAGGTGGCCACAAAGAGGTTTTAATGTAGTGACTGGCTTTGCTGATTGCCTAGCTGGATCCAGCATAACAGTTCAAGGAGGAGATTTGAAAGGCTCTCTCCTCGGCACTCTTTACTGTTGATACAAATCCGTAAAAAGTCCCAGCAAAAGTTTAAACAGTTTTTGATATTTTAAATCCTTGAAAGTGAAAACTTTTTTTACCTCTTGCCATTTCTACATGCAGTCACTCCCTTTAGTGCAATTTGGAGAATTTAGCGCAAAATGCGCACCTATTGTGTAAGAGAGAAAGATTATTCAACTACATAGGCACTGTTTATGAATATGGACTATTACTAGATTACAGATTTTAATGAATGAATCAACTGATAAATGGTGAAGTGTTTTCTTGATGGGAATGTCATATTCTGTTTTCATCTTCCTGCTTTTTACTTTTTGTTGTTCTATTGCTTAGAGTGTAAGTAACTCAGGGCAGGAGCCTTTAGGTGGTGTTTTTGGAGCTCTGTCTTCAACTCTTGTGCAACATAAATGTATACCTATAAAGTTCAAATAAAATATTATACTACACATGACAAATTTTTCAAATGGGACTTTTTGTAAGTAGCTTTAGTCTTCACATTGGCATTATTCCCAGCCTATGGTTGAGTGGTTCTTGGTAGTTGACTGCACTATGCACTTTAAAAAGGAAGGCAACAAAGGTCAAATTATTCATAAAATCATTAGTGAAATGTCAGAAACAATTTAGTCTAAATAAAATATTTCCCTGAAGATAAGAAGTACCCATTATAAAAATATTCCTTTCAACTGCATTACTGTGCTGTTGAATTCATCAGATAAGAATTGGACAGTTGACAAAAACTAAATGCTAATATGGAAGATACATATTTCTAGAATATTTTCTCTGTAAAAGCAAAAGATAAAAGGGCTTTGATTTTGGGAGAGAGTGAAGGCTTTTTTTTTTATTTGAAATATAATCTCAGGCTGAAAATAATTGAACACAATTTCTCAATGTGACCCTAAATTTAGCTTGAGTTTCAAGTCAACACCATCTTAGTTGGCGGGTGATAAATAAGTTTGATATAGTATTCTATGTTTACACTATGACATACTTTATTGTAATAGTAGTATTTCTTGCGAAGTGTGAAAGTGTCCCAGCAATTTATGTCATTGAGTCTTACCTGGTGACAGAACAATTTTAGAGTAAGGTTCACCCCTTTTCTAGCTTTTTTTCTGTTGTTTGGAAAATAAGTTTCCAGTCTGTTCGTCCATCTTGTCCTTCAACACAAACACATGCTAGTCTGATGCAGCAGGCAGGAATCCCTCCTGCATTGGTGTCAGGGTGTGATGACCTGTGATACAAGAAGGAGCAATTGATGCAAAGATTGAGTCCAGTGAGGGAAGTAGAACTTGATGTGGGAGATCTATGAAGCCTTTGGCACGGCTCAAATTTGTATTTTTAATATGGGAAAATACAGCTATTGAGACTGACTTGATCTCAAAGGTCTTTGTAATTCAGATGACTACGACTACTTTAGGCTATTTTAAAAGCATGAGCTGCAGGACTTCTGCTGGATTGCAGAGCCAAGGAAGATTGATGTTTGCAGTTCTGTTGTGCCTAAAGATTCTGTATGAATAAAATATTTGACACTGGTTAAAGGGATGTAATATTGGATGGATGGCCTTCATCTTTTTTTCTAAAGAATTTGGTTGTTAATAGTTCTGGGACTCATAATATGTCATTAATACTGAAGAACCTCCTGTTTTCAGGAACTCAGTTTATCAGAGATTCTTTTTTGAGAGGTTTTAAGACTCTAAATCTTGAATGACAAAAATATAGTTTCTGTTTAGATTAGTGTTTGATTCATTTTATTTTTATTCTATTAAGCAATAAAAGCCTAATTTGAGACTTGCATAAAGCAGTGTTTATAGATCTTTGGCTTCATTTACAGCATTCACGATTCTACCTGAATTAGCTTTTCAGAATCCAGGTGGTAGCTATTAACACTGGCTGATGTCTGTATCATTAAATTATAGAATATTTAATGATTATTTCTAACAAATTTTTTGTTGCATCAAAGACGTGTTCGTTGCAAATCTTGATGAGACACTATTGGTGACGTTAGCTATTAAAACAAAAGGGTTGACATGATAGATTGTAACAAGTGCAGTGCTATAGACACTCCTGTTCAGTCTCATCTAGATCACATATACTTCAATAATGTTTCAGTAGATGAATCATGATTCAACAGAAGGTTTTATGCCCTAGTACAGCAAGGATCATATAGCACAAAAAGCATTCAGATGCTTTGAAATGTTATGCTTTTCAGAAATTGAAAAAAAAAAAATATTTCATGTTTGCAACTGAACTGGCTCTTTCCATGCCTTGATTGTACGTGATTAACAGCGCCTCAGAAGTCCAGTGTGCTCTTCAATGCAACTTTTTCACAGCTCCTTGTAACTGGCATTACATATTGGGCTACTGCTCAGTTCCTAGTGCTCTTTGTTGCAAGCGTTTTCTGTAATTGGTTTGTATGATAACAAGGCGATAATTCTAAAACAGTGAATCCAAATTTCTCCCTCCTTAGTTCATTTTTTCCATCATCTACTCCAAAGGGAAGATTTATCCTGAGGCTTTTGTCACTGTCAGTCAGACTTACTGACCTCAGAATATGTGGTCATTCATTCATTCCTCACTTAATGGATATGAACCGATTTGATCAGGAAATCATATGTCACCTTACAAAAACTAACCACTTTGTGATTAGGGTGCTGTTGAGACAGATCTCAGACACAGTACTCCCATGGTTTCCTTACTGAAAACAAAGGTAGCCCTACTACTTAAACACTAGCTAGTATATCGTTAGATCCAGCCTGGCATAGATTGTTTTTCTGTTATAATGAAATGCGTAAATTGATGTGACAGAATACAAATGCATAAATGTTTTTATACTTCCGTGGCACAGAGTGATGTGTTACTGGTTTGCTAACAAAGAAAGATCTTTTTAACAAAACAAGACACTCCGACTGCAGCTTACTGCAGCTCTCTTCATATTTTAATGCATAGCTTCAGTTCAAAGGATGAATTGTGGGTTATAAAACTAGCTAAGCTGGAAGGTAGGATTTTTTTTCCCCTTCTCTCACAAACGTGGATGAAGACTAGGTGATTACTGAACATGCATTTCCATGCAGATGGTTTTCCATAGGCGTATTGTATACTCTGTTATTCACATTAGGATTTTCTACGGAATCAAATATGTATTAACAAAATGAAAGCCTGAAGACCACCCAGGCTGGCTTTCACTTCAGCAGAATATCAAATTAAACTAGGTTTAAGCATGTTCTTCTAGAATCAAGGGAGAGGAGACAAGTAATTTTAATAAAAAATCTATTTACCTTGTTTGTATAGAAGAACAGAATCTAATTTATTTCTGTGCCCATCTGGACTAGATTGCTCATTTTAAGTTAATTTAACAAATGATAGACTGCTACTGGCCTTTTCTTTCCCAGGAGAAGAGGTTGACAGACAGCTGTGTAGAGATGCTATCTACCCAATCCCGGTTGTCTGCGAAGCTCCATGCCCAAAGGACTGTGTGCTCAGCATGTGGTCTGCGTGGTCCTCCTGCTCACACACCTGCTCCGGCAAAACCACAGAAGGGAAGCAGATGCGTGCCCGCTCCATTCTGGCGTATGCAGGTGAAGGTAAGGTCGCATACTCTTGCAGACTCTTGTTTGATTGTGAATTCTCAGCTGGCTTTGTAATGTCAAAGTAATTTCTTTATCGACAGAAAAAAAAATTTAGATGGAGTTGTGGTTTTTTAAATATAGAAAAATTATTTAAATGCTTATCCTACATTTACTCATGGTACCTAAAGCTGTTTTAAAGAGGAGATTTTATTTTGCTTATTTCAGTTAATGTTGCTATTTTTTATTATTCTGCATAATGTTACTGGTTTGATTTTGAATGTGTGGTTTTCTTGTTTTCTATTAAAATTAAACAAGGAAAACATTTTGTCCTATGCAGACTTCTATGAAAGATATTTATAGAGGATTGTTACTAACCCTAATTTAGCTCCAATTTGGAAGGATATAAGAAAGAATGCTGAAAAGATGAGAGTTTTAATGGGTTCAAATGCTAACAAATGGGTTTTGTAGCTTCTTAGCTCAAATTGGTAACTAATGTTACCCCATTAACATTTTTATTCATATTAAGACTTTGGTTTTACCCTGCAAATCCTCATTCAAGTGAATGGTTTCCCTTCATACAAATGGTCCTTGTGCAGTGTCTGCAGCAAATGCAAAGAGAAGACAGAGCTGGAATATAAAGGAGACGAAGAAAAAGTTTTTAAATATAGGTTCATGTCTATTCTTTGATGATTTTCCATGCTTCCTATAACAGTGTATTTTTTTTTCTTAAGTATTTTTGGGGGTAATAGAGCAAGTGTATTCTATATGTAACATGGTTCTAAAATGGCCACGTCAGGTGTGCCAGGATCCAACCGGTAAAATGCCTTGTGCAACACTGGGAGCAAGTGTTGGGAGACATAGCCATTACAAGAAGTTCCTGGAAAATGTTTACTGACATGTATTACTGAGAGTAAAGTTAAATGCCTTCAATATAAAAGAATTACGTGTCAGTTCTTCCTTAAAACTGTTCAGCATTTTATTACTTCAGGTTAAGATTAAATTTATTTCAAAAGTGAAAGCTGTCAGGTATGAAAGTAGTTGAAACAGAATGTCTGTTTTGAGAAATGGAAAAAGAAAGGGGCAGGCTTCATTGTATACCAAAACACTTCTCTGTTTGCAAACACAGTTAACTTTGTTGCTAAAGTATAGTGTGTATTTGACAGATTTCACATAATTGTAAAAAAAAAAAAAAAAAGTAGCAGAGCAGGCACTTTCAATCTTTTCCCTGTGAAGGATCTTTGCTAGAAGTGTAAGAGGCAATCAGAACTATACTTATTTTAGTAGGTGATTCAAATAATAAATTACTTAGATGGACCTATGTAACAAAGTAGAAATGCTCTTAAAATAAGAAACAAAATTGGTTTTATGTTGTCCCTTTTTTTACAGTGTGTAAAATGGACTCATTTTGAGGGAAAAACAGAGCCACATTTTCATATGATAATTCAAATAAATATATATTCCTGTACTTCTTGCTTTTCCATGTAGGTCAAGATAATAGATTTTCAATATGCTTATGCAGTTTTACTGGAGACAGAAATTTAAGATCCTGACAAGCATGGCACAGACGTGAAAACCTAAATTACTCCAGAAAATTATTCCACTTTCTTATACTTCAAAAGTACTTATTTTATTCTGACTTTGATACTTAACACAACTTAGGATAATTTACAGGGCTGCAGATGCAGCAAAACAGTGAAGCATAGCATGGATTTTAGGTGTGTAAATTTTATTTATGTCTGTTGTGCAATGATCAGAACCAGTACTGAGTGATCACAAAGATTGACAGGTCTCAAACCACAGATGTTGTAGTACTTCAGCTTTGCTTGAACCCTGGCCTCTTTACCACTATTCTGAGATGAGGTTATTCTGTGCTTTTTTTAAGGATACAAGCTGGTTATGTCTACCTAGCTTACAGGCATTCACTCATATCTTGGTGAGATATCTTCAACACCATGCTCCTTTGCATTCTATACAAACTCCAGAGAATAAAAATATATAAATAAATAGAAGAACCTTTCAAGGCTTAGCATATCGTTACAATTCTAGCTGGAATGTACTTTTTGCCTTTGCTTGTATTATATTAGAGAAGTAGCAGTTTAGCTTTTATTTTTTGTGCTTCGCTGAAATTAGAGTTATTATCATCTTTCTCCTTACATGTCTCATATGCCTTTTAGTCATTTGCTGCATGACAAATAACCGAATGACTTTTCACTTTCAGAAGTGCATGACAGAGATCAGCTGTATTCCCAAAACATAAAACTGATTGTGTAGTTGGTGCTGGGGTGTCATTTTATGTCTGAGGGCACAGAATACATTCATGCATCTGAATGTCTGTATTCTGCTGATACAAAAAGGAAGCTCCACATGAACCTTTTTTGGGAAACATGCAGTTCTCAGTTCTATTCAGAGCTCATAAAAATGCACATTACTGTTGGTGAAAACTCTGTAAACGTCGTGTATAACTAAAAATCCCAGTTCTCGTAAATGTAAGACCAATAATTCCATTTACATATTAAAACTGAGGTCTGAAAATAGCTATCAGTTCTGTTCAGGTGAACAGTCCCACAGGTGTTCTCTTTTGGATTTTTCAGCCATGATATTTGAGAGTTTTTATTTAGAACACAATAGGATAAATATATTGTACATAAATATATACAGTTCCTATGATACCAGGATTGGACATTAATTAATGAAAGAACGTGCAAGTCTGTTGCCAGTCTATGAATAAGGCTAAACCTGGCTTCTAAGATGACATAAGGAGTCTAGGTTTATCACTGTGAGTCCTTGATCACACACGCATCCTCCTGCTAGTCATGGAGAATTCAGTCTACAAGCCTGGGAAGATCAAAGCATTGCAGGCATTACGTACACAAGGAATATTGCAGTCCCTCAAAGTATCTTATTAAAGTGCGTAATTCTTGTTCATTGGGGTGCTTAAATATGAACATGCCATTGAAAGTTTTGAGGGTCTGTAGGTACATATGAAATAGGTTATTTTGTCTGGATCTCGGATAGGTTCTTATCAAAGTATTGTCTGTGACTGTTCAATTTCTCTCCTCTTTGAAAAAAAAATGCTATATTGTGTTATTTTACTTGTTAATGTTGGCAGATGACTGTCCGTGATAGAGCTATGTCATTTGACACTTAAGACATTATTTGTCTTCTTGCTTCCCAACTGCCTATGCTGCTGAATCAGTTTGAAGAAACCATCAAGTTAGCATAACTGACCACCAGGAAACAGCCACACTATAACTGATTATCTTGGATGACTTAGGATAGGAATAATTCAATAGTATTATAATAATTCCTTGGTGACAAGAATAGCTTCACAGGAAAAATTGAAGCCGTATGTAAATTATAGTAGTGACAAAGTTTTCTAATAAACTCTGGGATATGACTGCCCCTCCAGCAGCACACTGGCTGCTGCTTGAGCCAGGAGCTGACCTCGGCCGTACGCTCTCTCATCTGCATTTCCTCACTCAGAAGAACACCTCTTCTATGTGGTCAAACCGTACGTTGCAGAGCCTCAAGCACGGTGTGGCTATGCACATCTGGGATGGGCTTAGTTGCTTGCATTCAGTAAACAGGGAGAGAGAGGAGTCTCTTTCCTCAAGATAAAGACTTTCTGTGCTTTGATATGACTCCATGTGGAAACTGGTGTCACAATAACCGTTTTTGGTATCTTTTCTGAAATCATTGTCCTCAGCTTGAAGGTTTGAAGGGTGAAGTGATTTATAAATTTGCCTGTCTGTGAGTCTGCCTGTAGTGGTAGCTCATTTGTGTCACTGTCAAATGCATCTTCATGGTACAGTGAGAAATGCAGGAAAGTAACTGTTTCAAAATATAAAATGACAGCAAAGGACATAATGATGTTACCTGATATATCATATGATTGTTCTGCATAGCATAAGCCTAATAAAGGCATCATATACAGCTCAGCTTATCTCTGTTGAATGTAGGGCTTGTCTATTTTCATTTTATTTTCTGTTTAATATTTCTGTTAAATTTTTATTTCCTGCTTACATTTAATCTTGTATAATTAGTAATACGCACCAAGACTACTTTACGTAGGCTGTGACTTGAGACAAAAAATTACTAAATGAGTCTTAATTTTTTAGTAAATAATAGATATACAGATTGATTCTGTATTGATTATACACTGCCATTGAATGACACTGCCAAATCAGTGTCATACAGCATAACACTAATGTTGTGGATACATTTGAAGCTTTTTTCAGTAGTAAATGACTGATACTGATTTTGGAAAACTCAAGATTAAAAAAAACCAAACCACAAGTCAAAGAATATAGTCTGATTAAAAAGCTTAATTTTATCAAACAAGAGTGAAGGATGATTTTCTTTGAGATATTCTCTTAGGGCACAGATGCATAATCATAGCAGTGTTTTGCTATAGCTATTTTATGTTCATAGATCAGCAAAGTATAATGCCAGAAGGACTATTTAGTGTGACCTCATATATTATGGACTATTAGACAACACTGAATTAGATAGTGTGGAATATCAGTTGTCCATCTCATCAGGTATTCTTTTTGTCAAGGGCCAATAGCTCATACTTCTCATACATCTGCAAGATTGATTTACTGAATGTGTAAGGAATAGCTGTATCAAAGGAGTTTCATCTCAACTGTAGGCAAATTATGGTTGATACGCTTTCAAATTTTATTTGTGTTAAAATTCCAGTGCACTTTGACTTCACAGTCACAAAAGAGGAGTTATACTTAGGACTTTTTAATGTATTTACTCTTCTTACACTCATTGGGTTTGTTTGTTTTTAATTTTTGTATTTTCCTGGCTTGAAATAACAGTGCTTGGTAATTAAATCTGAAAGCATAGGATTGAGTAATTGTTTTCCCAACAAATTGCTTATTCACCAAAGGATCAGTTTTGGAGAAGACAGGATTTTCATGAGTTTTAACTGATTTCAGCTGAAACAGGAATAAAAAGCTACTTAGTTTTGGAACTGGGGAACCTGAATTTCCAGGCTAGACTTGCAAAGTGACCTGGCACCTGTGTGTGAAGGTGAGCTGGGGGAGAGGACATTACCGTGCTTCTCATTTTGTTCAGGAGCCCCTCAGTTGAGATTCCTGCCTGTAGTGTGGAGTCTGGGATTCAAATCCTATCCAAGAAAGGACTTGAGGACAGACCTCTCATCTCCCATGGGTGCATCCTAACTTCTGTCCTGTTGTGTATTATAGGACAGGTCTGCTTGGTTTGTATAACTGATATGCACCAGGTGAAGAGGCGTGAATGTTTGTAGAACTGGAACAGGAGACTGCACTAACAGGGCAGTCTTTGTTCTTATGTTAGATGTCTGCATGTGCGGACCATGTCTGTGTTTGGGAAGTGCAGCTACCTCGAGGAGTCCTTGCCTCGTTCCTACGGCAAGGAAGAAATGAGTAACACCTCACTCTCTAGATGACAAGAAGCACTTCAGTCGCATCTGTTTTCTCAGACTTTAAGATTATTCCAGCTGTTTTGAAATGCATATATAAAATTACATGCATTTGTAAAATGAGTGATATCAAAATGATTAATTATAATGATCCTAAATGCTTTTAAACATGTTAAGCATTTTGAAATTTGGAAGTTACCAAGACAGTGTCACAAAAAAGACTTATGAAATCCAATCCTTGAATATCCTAGAGCGAGATAGCTTACCCATTACCTGCTCCAAATCAGGTAGAAAAGCAATATAAGCATATGACAATTCTGTTAAAGCATTGAAGGAAACTACCCTCAGATCTCTATTTTATGACTAACATGCAAGTCCCTCTGTAAAGCTAGCCTTTCATTTACAAGTGTGCTCTGCTTAAGTATCCAAAACCAAAAAGAAATGCTTCAGCTCCAACTTTTTTTTGGGACCTTGAAATGATTATTTTTAGTACTGCCAAACAGTTATTTACAGTCATTTGATCATATATTACATAAAATGTATTTAGTATTGTATGTCCCTTTTTCATGTATTCTGATAAAATTAATTGTCTATTTTATTTTTTTCTGTGATAGTCATTAATTTTTGTATTCCTGTCAAACCTGTCCTCATTTGCTGAAATGCTCTTAAAGTTGAGCAGCCCTGATCTGGTTACCCCTATGCAGATGTTGTAAAGGGCATCTCTAACTGCCGGTTTTCCAACTCCTGCTTTTTCTGTACGTTTTAATTTGAGGGAGCACAAGGGAATGCTGTTTTCCTGGAGAGAACAGCACACTGATTTATAAACAAGCAGTAGATTTTTTATTATTACGAAGAATTGGTGCTAGTGATAATTGGTTTATATTTCAGTAATATTATTTCCACATTTTGTTCATTCTTTATGTAGTTTTTTTAACTGCTGCTTTAATCTGAACAGAACTGGATTCCCTCTGAGCTGCAGACATTCATGCCCCAATGTTTTTCATTTACAAGTCAATGTCACTCTAATTTTTTCCCTGAATATACATTCTCACATAGCTGTCAAAACTGAATCTGAATTGTCACTTTATTCTCAAATGCCTTAGGAACTGCTGGCTATGGCATCCATTCCTGGGGAAACATTTCTTCCCACACACACCCCTTTAATTTATGAATTTGCTTAAATATTTCCCTTGTGTTTCTTCTTGAGCTAACACCAGATAGAAAGAATTAATTTAGTAACCTTCCTTATCTCTTCTAAATTCTCCTTTTTTTAACCTTTGTACTGGGGGAACATTTCTAAACTCCTCACATGAATCAGTTTTCTCTCCCATGCCAAATAATTTGTGACTTTACTATCTGGTTTGGTTTTTTTTTCTTTTCAAAATACACTCACTTTCCTAATTTCCTTGCTTATATTCCTATCTGCTAAGGTTAACCAGAAGACTTTTTTGTTTCCTGACGGAAGCTGTTTGAATAAGTTTTTGAAACTTATTACATAACCATAATTTTGTTTTACCATTTGTTTTTTTATTTCCTTCTTTAGGAAAACACATATGACATTTTGTCTTGGTGCTTTGCATATTCACATATATTTTAAGCAATTCTGATAGACTTGAGTTGCGTCCATTCTAAGCCAAAAAACAATTTAATTCCAATCATTGTTTAGTTACATTCACCAATTTTTAGGTTTTTCTAATCTCTCTTTGCAAAATTTAAGATTAGTTAGTCTTTGGCATGACATCTCAGTTAATATGATGTTTACTGTTGCTTGGTTGGATCAATATTTTTAGCCCAAAGTCAGAAGTTAAAAATATCCCTATGGAAATAATTTGACAATTTGGATTTTGTCCTGTGGTTTCATTAAAATGGCCCTTTCCCCATGTTTGCTGCAGATCTAGATATTCCACAAAAGCAACTTGGGATATAAACTATTTTCATGCTTGTGACACATGACTTAATTGTGATGGAGTACTTTAAGTATCCATTGTTTCTTTGATTACAATTAGTTGTTTGTGTAATTTCTCTCAACAATGAGTGCTTAAAATCCCTTCCCTCTTGCATGTCTCTAGAGCAGGAGGTCAACTTAAAGTTCGGTGCTGGGATATGAAAGCTAATACGCTTTCTGACATCCGCTTGGTGTGAGCATACATTTTTCTTTTTGGAGAAAAATTGTATGGCTCAACTGCATTAACTAATAAAAACCTCCTCTTTCAGTTATCTTTGTTACTGTTCTTGTCTTTTAGGCAGACTAAAATATTATTTAGGTTTTCCCTGGCTTTCCGTCACTTGAAAATAGGAGTCCTATTGTTCCTGTGTAGGCCGTGAACATTTAAATTAATTCTTAAACCTAAATTCTGTATGTCTAGTAATACCAGAGATCTAGCAGACATACTTTCTACTCACAGGGCTAGACATCTAGTAGCCTATGATCAAGTCTGGTAGGAAAGACCTCTTCTTTACTTGTGGAGGACTGGGAGGACAGATTAGCTTTGAGGTGCTTGAAAATAAGAAACTGAACGTACTTTCTGAAACGGGATGCAACAAAGATAGCATTGTCTGAGCTTTTCTTCACAATTACTGACACGTGAATGCATTTTAATCTTAATCTGCAGCAGCCTTTGTTATCTCAATCTGGACCTGAAATTGCCAGCTGTGCCATTCTCTTTGGTAATTATGTAACATGGATAAATATCCACTGGGAGCTAGGGCAACAGCTCCAAAAATCTTTTTAATTGATCCATGAATTAGACATAAACAGTGGTCTCTGCACATGCATAACTAGAATATTTGACTATTTCTTCTGCCTACAGCCTTCATACCTCTTTATGTGATCTCTTTCAGTCTCTTTTAGAGAACCCCTTAATAAAAAGCTGTAGATTATTCCAAGCACCTTAGTGTGTTACATGGTTATTTTGGCATCCTTATTGTACCCATAAGTTTGTCAAAGTCAGTATTGGGCATATGCAGAGGAGGGAAAAGGAGCAGCACTTCTTTCATGTAATCAAAGTGACAATATGTAACTAATAAGATTTCAAAGCGAGTTGGTTTTGTTTTCTTTTGTCTTTTTCAATAGAACACTTTATTTCCATCCACCGCATGAACTTTTGCCCTGTTTTATTGTTCCAGGAGGAATACAGTGCCCAAATAGTAGTGCACTACAGGAAACACGCAGCTGTAACGAACACTCTTGCACTGTGTATCATTGGCAGACTGGCCCATGGGGACAGTGCATAGAGGATACGTCTGTCTCTGCTTTCAACTCCTCTGCCAGCTGGAATGGGGAGGCCACCTGTTCTGTGGGGATGCAGACAAGAAAGGTCATCTGTGTGAGAGTCAACGTGGGACAAGTGGGTCCAAAAAAGTAAAGATCTTAAAAAAAAATCTTCATGCTGTAATTATCTTTGGACTTTGCTGCTTTATATTTTTATCACTAATGATTGTATGCAAAGACAAAAAGACCCTCCTCTTTGTGTTCTCATGAGGGAACAATTCATCTTTTCAAAATACAAAACTGAAGCTACTGGAGGACTATATAATACCTTTCTTACTATTGATCTTTATGGGTGATATTTACAGTGGTGGTTCTGCTGACAGCTGACTGACTACTTAATCCAGTTGGCTCCTTGCCATCATCAGGTTGAGTTGAGATGAAAGTCTTGGGGTATGTGTGTGGTGTGCAGTGCAGCACCATTTCCAAGATCCTTGTGGTAACCTTCAAGCAAGCGGTGCACTATATGGATAGTGCAGTTCCATTCAAAAATACTGTTTTGAATCTAAATACAGTACAACCCATGTAAGTGCATCTTCTCAGAAGCAGAGCAAGGAGATGAAGCATAGTGTGGCTCTGACAGGGCATTAGTTTGAAACATTAGTTTTGGGCATCAGTTTGACAACCTTTGTGAGTTTTTTTTTTCCCATATACATGTTTTTTTAAGAGATCCCTTTGGCCCAATGATTTAATTTTACAGTTTAATATATGACCAAGGTTAAATACAGATTAGCTGCTAGTAAAATGCATTTGATAATATCTTCATACAGTTTGGCAGTCTGTAAATATATTCCACTCAGGACAGATTCAAAGCTGGAAGAGCTGATAGCAGACGTCATTTAGAAAGTTCATGAGGCAGCTATTCTCACACTAAATATTTGCACGGTGCCTGCCTTTTGTTGCTTTATTCAGCAGTAGACTTGTTCCTAACTTACTTTAAATGGAAATATGGGGAGTAATACCAGTACATTTAGTAATGTAAATTGTTGTATATCTGCATTAAGTTGCTGTTCTGTTCAGTCATGACACCATTATATCTTTTATTTGGTACTCATTCGACATTTAAAAAAAAACCTGTAATGATTTATCTTCCTTTTTAAATCTACCGTTAATGTCTCTGCCTTTGATTTGACCTTAAATTTTTGGGAGGAGGGCTGTTTTATTGTGTCATAAATGATTCCTGTGAAATGAGAAAAAAAAAGTCTTAGTTGATCCTTCAAATTGTCACATTAAAATCACTGAATTGTTTTTAAAAGACCCAGACATTTAACATGAAAATATAAATAGGAACCTTGTTTTAAACTCCCCTTAATAAAAAGGATTACTGTGGTATGATACAATCAATATTATTGGCCTTATCTACGTTACAAGTTACGGACTTCAGCCTGTACCTTTTCTGTTTAATTTGACCTTGAGTAAGGACTGCAAAAAAATCAATGCTGCGCTTTAAGCCACATATACTAAATACAAATAATATAAAAGATATAAGTGGTGTTCTAATTGAACTAATTGCCTTGCCCAAGGATCTGAAGAGGAATTGTAATGTTCAGTGCTCCTGAAGGATGAAGTTCTCAGTGAAACAGTGAATGTGTATAGTTCAGACTTCTTTGTATGCTTATAATTTCTGTTGTTCTTTGAGGAAAAAGCCATTAGTAAGCCAATGTTCAACACTTTTCAGAAGCATTTTTAATTTTAACCTTAGATAAAATTTCTGAAAACATAGTCAATGTATGTGATTGGTGGCAGATTTTTTTTAAAGTGTACCTGACCATATATAATACATCCACGCGTATATAATCTGATTTTATGAATCACACAAAAAGAAGGCACAATTTGACTTAAAAATGTAGAGAGAGCTTACGGAGAGGTGATGGAGATCTCTGTTGCTATAGCTATAGTATTTCATGGTGTTTCATATTGGTATTTTAGGGGAGAAAATAGAAAGGGTGGAACATCGTTATAAGAGGGCACCAAGAAGTTGGTGCTGGTTCACAGTAATGGATCATAGTCTGAGAAGTTTATGTGAATTGACAGGAGAATGCAGAGACATCCAATGGAAGTCATGAACTAACAAGCGTCATTGGTGAAGAATGTGTTCCTGTAAACCTGCAACTTGACTTTTCTTCTCCTTTCCCCCTGGTTCTCCTCCCACACTGCACAGGCATAGTTGTCCGCTGACTGTGGAGAGCACAATTTCTTCATAGTTCATTGTCAGACTTGCCTGTGCTCCCTTCAGCCTGACAAGAAAGACGCCTTGCTCAAGCCAAGCTTTCCCAGCTGATCCAATCAAAATATAAAACTGCTGTCTCATCTCTCTGGTCCCAGATGCACAGCAGCCACAAGAGGAAAAGCTAGTGACAGTAATGTTTTTCTGTAGTGAGCCAAAAACTCCAAAATATGGAGGTGATATTTTTCTTACCTCTTTACGTATTCCTCTGACAGTCAACAATCTATATGCTTTTAGGGCAATGGTAATTTTGAAATTATTTTAAAGATTTGCAGTACTTCTTCAAGAGTTATTGCATCATTCTGAAAACAAGTATTGCACGATAGACTTATTTGTCCTTGGTGAAAAAATAGGAACACAGAACAGGGAAAATGACCTGGGTTAACAAGTCCCGTATGTGGCAGTCCAATAATCCCTTTTATATGCTGATGAAGCCTCTTCCTAAAACAAGTGAGGTTTTCTGTCCCTTCTGACAGTCTTTCACAGTCTCATTGATCTGGCTTCTGGTTTCTGTCATAATCATGGCCAGCTTATACACATTTGTTCCTGGGTTAGCAGTTTAAATATGCCTCCTTCCAGAGCTTGTGCTTCTGGTAAATTTATGAAGAGCTAAAAATGTATTTTGCTAAGCTAAACTAGATGGCTTTTCTTCATAATCATTTGGAAGTTCGAAGATAATACTTAAAAGGAAGTCTGGAATGGTGAGTGAGGAATTATGATTTTTTTTTTAAAGTGAAATCCCCAGGTGCAGAATGCATGGGTTTTGACCTTTCACCAGATATATTTAAATACTAAGAGTTTTTATTTCTGTGCTCCATCGTGGTGAATTCTGGGCAACTAACGCTCCGCTTGTGTGCCTGCAGGCATTCAGTACCTCTTGTGATTCACCACTTCGCTTGCAGATTGATTGTTTATTTGATAATGCTTCTTTTTCGTTTTTTGTAGATGCCCTGAGAGCCTCCGACCAGAAACTGTAAGGCCTTGTCTGCTTCCCTGTAGGAAGGACTGTATTGTGACTCCATTCAGTGACTGGACATTGTGTCCTTCTTCATGTCAGGAAGGTAATTTTATCCACTGTGTGCTAGTAGACAGATTTTAAGAAAAAAAGGAGTCAGACTAGCAGTCACTTTTGGCAGAATGCTTATACACATCCCTTTCTGACAGAGAACATGTAATAGCTGGTACAGCAGCTGCAGAGAGGACATAGTGTTTTTTTGCTGAAAAGAATAATTATTTCTATACATTTTCTATACACATTTGTTTGGATTTTTTTTCCCATTTTGCCTACATTTATGTAACAAACTCCCATTTGCATCTTCCTCTGATAAAGAGATAGCTAGTCATGGAGCAGACCCATATCTCTTAGTGTAACACCAAAACAGATACTTGTACAATTGTGACATTTGAATTGTCAGATTATAAAATGGTCAGATTTGGTCTTTCAAAGTATGTATGATGCTTGCTCATCAGAAAAACCTGAGGCTTATATAACAGGTGATAGGTAGGCAGGTAGGTACATGGATAGATATGCATATGTATATAATTTTGCCGATTTCTTCTACTCCAAGGAAAGCTGAAGGAAAGATAATAAAAATCAGCAGGCTTTAGGTTGATGTTAATGGTCTGCTTTAAACATACACTCCAATACTATTTTAATACACTTGTCAAAGCTCTTAAAAACAGTGCAGGTCTCCTCTGAATTTTTATTACACTGAAATCATGTGAAGTTAAAGTGATGGCTGGCTTAATGTTGCCCACATCTTTATGCCTTCTCTCTTTTTCTCTTTCAAGCTTAACGGGAGGTGTTTTTCTAATATGTACTGTTACAGATAGACTGTAATACCCCGTGTTCCACACGGTGCTAATCCCTCTGTGGGACGTGGTGATTACTCACAGCTACCATATTATCAGAATGTAAGATATTGTTACATCAAATGTACACACTTCAAATGTCACGGCCAATTCTTTATGCTTTATAAAGAACACAAGCATAAAGGCATTTTTGTAGTAATTCTATTAGTGCTTAGTGCATTCTAACAAACAAAAAAAGGGTTAGGAAGATTAAATTCATAACCTCTGAAAAAGAACAGAGAATTAAGACCATTGAATCTAAATCTATAAAATAATTATTCATTATTAAATACTGTGTTATTTTACAGCAGTATTAATCGGTCTTTCTGAAATGTTTTTGTTGGGGTAGATCATCTTGAACAAAAATACCATCCTTTTCTGTTCTCTTTTCTATGGGTTTTAAGAAAATTCTTGATGCAATGAGCATATCTTCACAAATATTTACTACAAACTAGGACGTAGGCTTCTGTAAAACGGTATATTTGTGAACCAATACAGGCATTTTGTCTATTCAGTAAGTCAAACTGTTTTTATACTACACAAACAATTTTTATTTCATCGGATTTACCCTTTTGTGTCAGCACGTTGCTCAGCAGCTTTTCTGGGCTGCACGTCTGTCTTGTCTCTTGTGCCAGCTCCTGGCATCTCCTGGAGCTGATTGACCCAGGAGTGGAGGGTTTCCTCTGCATTGAAAAGGAACCAGGTGGTGGAAAGCCACCGCCGGGATTCTCCTGTCGCTTGCTCCTAATTACAATTGCTTGGCCGTGGTCCAGCAGGCTTCTGTGTTCAGACAAGCTGCAGCTGCTGTAATAACCCACCTAAAGCTGGTATCAACGCAGTCAGCCAAATGTCTGTGCTACAGCACTCTGGAAAAAAGAAAAAAAAAAAAAAAATCCAAGATTTTTACGTAACAATATTTGTGTATTAGGTATTTCTGTTGCTGTGGAACTAATACAGATTTGTGGCTTTTCTCTTAATTTTCTGCCTGAAGAACTGATATCTGAAGATGACTGAAATCAAGTTTCCTACAGGAACTATTTATTGTTTATCATTAGAAATGAATGACTATAAAAGTTAAAAACTGTAAACTGTAAATTAATTCCAGAATGGAATTTCTGTTTCTGGTTTTACAAGCAAATGATGAGGGCAAACTTACACTTTAAAAGTGTAAAGTGTAGCAGCAACCTGAGCTAGTTTAATTTTTGTTCACTTGAACTGCATATTCATTTCAGCTGTATATTAATTTGTTCAGTATTGCTACTGTTGCTTTCTGTTTAGTTCTGCTTCCTGGCCTTTAGCTGAGATTAAAATGTTTTATCTATTAGGCTTAATTTTCTGCTTATGGACAAAATAGCATGTCAATATTATAGTGATCAGTTCAAATACTTGTTAAGTTAAATCTTATTTTTCCCCTAATTACTGTCATCCCTGTCTAGTAGCAGGAGAAACAATCTCTTCTACTCTTTGCAGGGGGTGTCACAGTAAAGAAGCAGTCCCGTCACCGAGTCATCATCCAGCTCCCGGCCAACGGTGGTCGAGAGTGCCCAGACTCTTTGTTTGAGGAAAAGGAATGTGAGGCTTCTCCTGTCTGCTATAGCTACAGGTAGTGTTAATCAACCAGAGACAGCTCAGACATGATTTTTCAACCTCTACTACCTCTCAAGCTTTCTGAATTCCACTTCTTAACAGGAGGTGTTTTTCTAACCTGTATGATGTAGAAAAATAGGATACATAGCTACATCAAGGTTTCAGAACAGATATGTAGACTTGCATGGGCCCATAGTGAATCACTGGTTCATTTTGTTCCAGTTCCTTTGCAGGAACATTACAGCAACTAAGAATTTGCAGGATAAATCTTCCCTAGCAGCTATTTTGGCATTCTATACAATTAAAAAAATCTTCCTTTCTAAATTATCCAAAGTGCTGAAATGCAGCCTCATCTCTTTAGGAGAGCTGGGTTCTGCTGTGTGCCACACACTGTGTCCTCCATCTTTCCATCTCTGTCAGCCCTGAGACAATCCACAGCTGATTATATCCCCTAATATACAAAAATCTCTGTGTTCACCTAATCCGCCAGAGAACACTGAGGACTGTTTGAGCAGGTGGGGATCTCCACTGTAACAGCCTAAGAAAATTTTCAGGCAGTTTTGTAGTATCCATCTGAGGGGCGTGGGAAGGCCTAGATGGACAACAAGATCTGGCTGTTAATATGAAGTTTAGAAAATTCTGATACAGTTGGTTGGATTTACTTGACAAAATAAAAAGAATATGAGATTTTTTTTTTAATGAATAATAAATATCAAACATATTTATTAGAAGCCCATGTTCTGTTTCTCCGCCTGCTAATTCCCATGAATCTACTCTCTGTTGCAGAGTTACAAATAGAATTTAAGCTTATTTTAGTGAAAACAAACTGAGATTAAAGAAACGTGTTGCTTTCATCATCTGGTAAGAATTAACATGGCAAATTCATTAGGAGATCACACTGTATGTAACTGAAAGATACGAAAGGATATAAAAGAGCATTGGGAAGCTACCAAAATCAGTACTCCAAACATCAGAGAAATATAGCTTGACAACTTTTTCTAGTCAATACTGGAGTCAAAGTTTTATCTTTTAAAATTCTGGCTGCTCATCATCTCTTTAGTATCTTCAGTATCAAATTTTATCTGAGCTAGTGCATGATAATGTGCAGAGCTGAAGAAAGAAGAGTTGCTAGGGAGTGGTAGATGAGGTCATTTACGTTTCATGACACGAACTAATAATAAACACATTTTGTGTATATTTCCTTTAGCATCTTTCTGACCTATACACATGCTGCAACAGATGGACTCACACACTCAGCCTGGCTCATGCCTTAGTTCAGATACTGGCCCACAGGGGCAGGTTGCAATGAAACTTGAAGTGCAAAACCGTTGAGATAAATTTAAGCATTAGAGCAGCTGCTGGTTTGAACTGTGAACATAGCATGTTTTTTTCTCCCCACTCTGACTAATTCAGACAACTGTGGATTATTTCAGATATGTGACAATAACCAGTCTTGCCTGGATTTGTTATATTTAAGGCCTCGGGTACTCTGCAGCACTAGAAGGGAACTTTGTAAAAGTTTTGTAGCAGTTTATATTAATGATAGAATAATTTAAGCAGCACAATATTGCATTTGTTACCAAAGTTTTTTGCAAGTTCTTTTTGTCTGTATTTTATTTTGGTACGGTCTGGGCTCATGTTCGCATTGTGTTGGATCTCTTGGTTGGCTCCACGTTTGTAAAGTGCTGCCATTCAGCTATCAGAGCCCCCAGGTGCACTGGGTTTGCCTGAGGCACCGTCACAGTCACATAAATCCACTGTCCCAATACTTTACTGTAGGTGGGGTTCCATTTTGCTTCTGATTTCTCCTTTTGGGATAGTATTTGGGGGATGAAGCTTAGCAAAGGGATTTGTTTGTTGTGAAAACTTTACGCTTGTAATCACTTCATTTGAAATTTGAGAAAACAAAACAAAAATCCTAAGACTTTGCTTATCTGATCTCATCTTTGTCCATAACTCCAAGACTTGTTTGTGCTTCAAGCAAGGCAGAATTGCTCCAGTTGTTGTTGTGTTGCAAGGCATGCCTAAGGGAGAGGGGGAAGAAAAGACCTGGAGAAGAGGAAAGAAGGAAAAGTGAAAGAAATACACTAACACCTGTATGTGACAGTGTTTACTGCCAAAAGACACTCCCAATACTGCAGGAACCAGAAATCAACCCTGGAGCCTTATCTCTGGAGTGTATTTGGGAAACCAACAAGCACATCTGTGCTTCACTTAGGTGGAAAAAAGAAAGGAAAGAAGAGAAACTGAGAAAAAGGGGAGGTTTATTAGTGTGTGCTAGTATTTAAAATTCATCCTTATTTAATGAGTCCATGTTGTTTTTACGAGATGGTAGCGTCACTTTGCTAAATCCACTGTTCAAATTTTAGTATGTCATTTTGTGGACTGGTAAAATACTCTGAGCATGCTCAGATATAAATCTATAGCAAAGGAGTTCTGTTAAATGAATATTCAAGTCATATAATTATATAATTTTGTAGAGCATTCTTTTTTGAAATTTCTTTCTCAGATCTTGTATAAGTGTGTTAATGCTTTATATTAATGTATGATCCTCATATTGTGGTTTGTATTCTCTGTGTATTTGTTAGGTAGTGTTAATGTACCTTTGTACTTTTAAATCCTTGAAAACATACATAGTTTGCTTTCATTTCCCTCCTTCACCTCCTCCTTCCTTCCCTGTGTTCTTAATGGCCTAATCCAAAAAGGAGCAAAAAAGTTAACAGGAAAAAGGGAGAAGTTTATGGTATTGTTACTGTTTGTTGTGAATTGTCTGTGACAAGTTAGTAATAATAAGCAACAGCTTATGGTGGTTGCTAATACTATCTAGCACTTGTGCTGCCTTCGTTTTGATAGCTACACATTTAGATGGATTGTTTGGAGTTGATTCCTTCCCTCCTCCTTCCAGGTGGAAGACCCACAAGTGGCGCAGATGCCAGCTAGTACCATGGTACGTGCGCCAAGACAGTCCAGGAGCACAGGAAACTTGTGGACCAGGGCTACAAGCAAGAGGTAAGACCCTTTGTTTCTGTGATTTATTCCTCAGAAATCTATAGCTGCACTGATGTGGGAAATGCCTGAAATTTTATTCATTATAACATGACATTAATTTTAATCTATCTTTATGTGCATCAGCAAAGGAAAATAATGAATGGTAGTATGGTAGGGTGCATCCTAACCAGTATTTGGCAGATTTTTATTCATATCAGTGTTCATTTATTTTTAAGTATAGATACCACATTAGTCACTAATTTGTGGTATTGTTTGTTCAGATTATTTCACCATCCTTACCTCAAGCAAGTTTGCAGAGGTGTTTGTGGAAAATATGTTTTGAAAAAGAAGAAAAAAAAGAAATGGATGGGTGACTTTATGTGCTTCTTTTTTTGAAAAAGGTTGTGTAAATTCACCTGTGAAAATGTGACATTTTTCATGTGGTGAGGATGTGAAGACATGTTTATGGGTATATCCATTAGATTGAATATAAGACTTTTGCTCCCTGTAAGTGTTTGTTTGAAAACTTAGGATCGGAGAACCCTACAATAATTTTGAGCTGTAAGGATGCTCTGGAGCTCCCTTGGTCTAACCCTCCACCCAGAGCAGGGCCAGTTTCAAAGTTACGTCCCATCCAGATTACAGCAGGTTGCTCAGGGTCATGTCTCAAGATGTTTCCATCTCCCAGGACGGAAATCCTACAGCCTCTCTGAGCACTTGCTCCAGTGGTTGTCCAGTCTAGCACTGCATTTTATTTTCCTAATGTCTAAGCCAAAATGTCCCTTGCTGCAATTTGTGTGTGTGGCCCCTTATCCTTTCACCATATATCTCTGAGAACAGTTCGGCTTTCTCTTCTCTATACCCTAGAATTAGGTAGTTGTAGAGAGCAATGGGAGCATGAGAGGTGCAGGACTTTGCATTTACCCTGTTAAAGTTTAGTGCCAGCCCATTTCTCCAAGCTGTCAAGGTCCTCTGAATGGCAGCTCTATCCTCCAGACAGCTCCTCTCAAACTAATATTTTCTCCAAACTTACTGAGGATGCTTTCCATACAGGTTGTTAAAGATGCTAAACAGAATTGGCCCTGGAATTAATCACTGAGGTACAGCGCTCTTAACCAGCTGCTGGTTGGACTGCAAAACCACTGAGCCTTCGAGCCCAATGATCTAGACATTTTTCCACCATTTCCATTTAATACCAAATAATTTTTGTATCCAAATCCAGCTTTACTGTCGCCTGTCTTCCTAGAGGGTTTTGTGGTTTTAACAGAATTGTGTATGTGTGACTGTTGAGAAGGTTTTTTTAGGTACATTAAATAAATACAGTATGAAAATAATTGCAGTTCCTACTTACTGTGTTACAGTGATTGAATTGCTTTGATCTACTAGTCAACCCTGAATTCCAGGAAGGTTTTTTTCTTTTGCCTTTTCTAAGTGCAAACTCCTATCCGTTAAAACAATATTGGCTCAGTAGATTGTGAAATTCCTGAGCAAGGACACTGGTAACAGCAGAAGTGAAATGTTCAGATCATTAACTTCCTTGCAGTATTAGAGGAGGTTATGGTATACTTTAAAAAGTCATAGAGTAAATCTTAAGCTAGTAACTCCTACCACTTACTCAGAAAGTGTTATAGGAAATCAGTTTAGGGCTTACCACAAAATGAAACCTGTAGGTGTTGCCTGCTAATACAAAAGGCTTCTGACTGTGGTAATTCTTTCAAAGGTCTATCACTAATGCGGTTTATTTCTAGCAGCTCTGTAGGATACATTCAGATTACACACTGAGAAAATAAGATTTCTGTCTTTGACGGTAGGAGTTGATAGTACAAAATGTTGTCTTCTGTACTTGCATGGTAGTACCTAAATCTCTTGACTTCGCCTCAAAAGCAGTTAATAAAGATAGCTAACTGTAGTGCATGCAAATTGGGTTTTATTATCCTTGTGTGTTATGAGAGTTTCTTTTTTTTAACTGTGACTCCAATCATATGCAGTACACACACATACAGAGGAATACATGATTTGGGAATTACTGAGCATACAGTTTTCAAATCTGGTAAAATAGACTGGTAGAATTTCCCTCTGGTACTACACAGCTTCATCTTGCAAAGGATGATGTATTCAAGCAGTAGTCTTGTTCCTACAAGCAGATATAATGGAAGTAGCTCTCTAGTTTGATGTGGTCAAGTGGTAGGATGAGCAATCATTAATTAGGAACCTGGGAACAGCTAAGCCTGAAGAAAACGGGTGGTTTTGGTAGAATTCTGTAAAAGTTTCTGAGATCAGCTGTTAGAAAGAGAAGATATTTGTTTGCTCCTGCTTTTTATGAAGTCTGTCCAGTATATAAATTTTATTGTAGAATTCACAGAGGAAGTTATTTAAGTTGGATAACAAAAGATTATTTGTGCCTCAGTCCGGGTATCTAAAAATGAATCTAAATATTGTCTAGCCTGTTGCAGTGATGAAAGTTACAGGCGTTAAAGACAGAGCCTTTTTTGACCCAGTATTTTTCCCATTGATGTAAATGATGTAAATTAACATAAAAGGTAAGTTTTGAACACAGGTGTATTATGTAGCATGTCTCAGTGTTTTAATACCTGAAAATGTATGTTGAATATATCTTTTACTTTTGTGCTCGGTAATGTAAACTGATATTCTATAGGAGCTAAATAAACTAGTACAGCTTTTCTTTAGATTGAGAAAAATAAAATATTTTCTGGTTTCTTGAACACCTTTACAATGAATATGACTTGGAAGTAAAAGTTGAATTTTTGCACAAAAGTGACTTTCACTTTGGAAAACATACTACTTTAATTCTAGAGGTTATCGGTTGAAATTTTATTTGCTTTGCACCTCAGAAAATTTCATTTTGAACATTTGTTTTATGTAGGTTATCTCTTACACAAGGCATTAACGTATTCCCTTTCCCCTCTTACATTTCAAATTCTGCCATGAAAATAGCCATATGTGAATTTTCAGTGATGCTTTGTTTGGTCCCCTGTACATGAGTTGATTTCATGCAAGGTGCTTATCTGCATGGGGGGCTGACCTGAAAGCAAGCATCTGCCTGACCGAGCTCTGCCCTGAACAGTGTTAAATTTCACCAATTTCTGAAGGAAGACTCTGGAAGAGGTTTTGTCTCCTCTCCCTGCTGATTCTTGGCTCCCTCCTGCATACTTAGCTTCTCGTAAATAAAGTTTATACAGGCTATGGAAAACGTTGCATGATAATAGGTTATTAACAATTCTGTACTATAAATCATTTATTTCAAGATTATTTTGTGATGTAGATACAGAAAAGACTGAGCTACTACTGTGCAAGTTCTTTTAACCACCCCAAAATCACAAAATGCTAAGCACTGAAATATGAAATCCATTTGGTATAACATTCTGGTATTGCATTTATAATTTTGATACAGATATTTTGAACAGTACATTTAACTGTTGGTGAATTTGGTACAAATGTTTACCGTACTGTGCAAATCATAAACGTAGCAGCAATTCTTTTTCCATTGGAAAACAGTTCTCTCTCAAATTTCTGATGCTCATGGGTGCAGGAATCACACATCCATTCATCTGTTTGTGGTAATTTACTTTTGAGGACAGGGTGAAACAATAATCTTGTAGAAGTAATCTCAACACTTTAGTTTCCCATGGATTGTACTTTCATTTTGTGTTGACGCTCAGTAGAGCAAGTAGTTACATTCTTGTGTGTGGGAACAGTTCTCGGTTCCTCTCTTTTGGTGCAAAGGGATGTTGCCAATGCTATTAGTTTGTCCTGTTTCTGATCTGATTGCCTACTCAGAAACATTGTAAAATTTAACATATCAGCAAATGTGTTAAATAAGAAAGAATAGGAAGGTACACCAGGGAAAAGGCACATCTGACTATGCATGCATTAGCAGTTTATTTTGAACAAAATAGTCAGTTACTGTTCATGTTTTAGTTAGAAAGATAATTAAATCTGAAGGAAAAACTAAAAGTTAGAAATCATTAAAAATGACTGGTTAGGTGTCCGATCTTAAGAGTTTATGAGTAACTAGAGCATATGCATGCCTTGCTTTATATCACAGCTTTACTATTTACATTTCCATTCTTCAACTTTTTTATCACATTGGTCTTCCTTGGCAGAAGAGGTACTTGGGTGAATCATAAAGTTCAGAATTGTGATTCGTTGTTAAAGACAGCTCTGTTTCTATCTGTCTGGTATAATGAAGGTTTTGTTACAAATCATGTCAGTTTAAATGAACATGTCACAAAATTAGAACTTGGATCAATGCAGAGGAAAGAGAATAAAAGGTTTTTGGTTTTTGTCTTGAGAAAATCGTTTCTTTAGAATTTTTTTAAAGAAAAATATTTGTTAATTATTCATTCAAATAATGGACAGGTATTTATCTCTAAACCTAAGCATAGTAACATGGCATTTAATACCTGAACAGCAAATTCATTGTTGTAGTCGTGAACCTTATTGGAACAAGGCAGATAGTCATGACAATTGTGTTGAATTTCTATGATTAATGAAAATTTGCAGTCATATCACTGATAATATGCCTTTTAACAGTGGATAAGCAGGGCAGGAATGTATTGTAGAATTACAGTAACTTAAGACTTCTAACTGTCTTTTGTTCAAAGCCCTCAAAAGAGGATATTATGGGTGCATCAGGAAGGAGTTTGAAACTTTCTTTTGACCCTACCCAACAAGAACAGGAAATGTAGAGAAAAGCCATATTTTAGTGCAACAGCATTTATTTTGTGTTTATTTTCATAAGCTGTTTCTCAATTAACAAGAGTAAATTCACCAGATGTCTTGATGAGTCGCCTGAAAACCAGGAGGGAGAGGCACAAAATGCTGGCAAATACAAAATACGGAAAAAAATACAAAACATAGAACAACACAGTAAATGCTTGATAAAGCCAGACTACTATTATTTGATGCGGATGTGGGCTATAAAACTCACTGTGAGAGGAACCTGTTCCAGCTCGGTTGTGCTAAGAGATACTATTTTGTGTTTCTATGACATTTATTAG